AACTAGCTGCTCCAGTTGGCCCCACTCTCAGCCCTCCAGCCTCACTCCTGCTTGTGCATAATTTAAACAAGATGGCTTGTCTAAGTTTTTGGTCTGAGTAGTTTCGATGCCACTTTCAAACTCAGCTAGCACAGCATGACTTCTTCTTTTCAAACTCAGCTGATTATGTGACCTATATTCATTTTCATGGACATCTGGCAGAATAATTCCTTAGACCTGTTCTCTTTGGATTTCCCTCTGCTACATGTGTAGTTAGTCTATACTTCTGTACACCTCTCTAATATACTTTGGATTTCCCTCTGCCAGCTTTGTGACTGAACCAGTCTCTGGAGGTCACCTTTACAATTGTCCTTGACATTTGTTCCCCTCCAGCTATTGCAACCAGCTAATGTATCAGCTATAATTGTGTTCTTGAAATTTGTTCCCCCCCAGCTATTGCATCTGGCTATTAGTTGGTCATTGCATCCTCAAAATTTGTTCCTCTCTCCCATTATTATCATTTGCTATTTCTGTCTATTGACTATTATTGTCCTCATAATTCATTCCTTTGTGTCTATTGCTCCTGCTTATATTGTCTCCTCATTTTATTATGTTCAGATATTTTGTCATGAAAGTATGATATTTCCCTAATTGTTATATTTCAATTTCAATTTTTATTATTTCATATTTATTTCATCTTTAACCCACATGACCATTCACTGCTCTAGCATTTGATTATATAACTATCAGATGGTCATTGTTAAATGAACATTCACCTTCACATCTGTGTAGTGTCTATTTCCAGTTTGTTTCTGTCCCCTCTGGTAATATTTCTGAGCTTTCTCTTCAATTTTCCTTCCTTAAACCAGTCTGCAGACATACCTGCATTCTGATGTGTGTGTGAGTTTGCTGCTGCTCATAGTGATCTGTGCCCTTACCTTAGTAAATCCTTTGTGCATTAGTGTCATCAATCTCAATACAAGTAGCCTCTTCAATTTACTGCCAATGAGATTGACAACCTTGATAGAAAGTTGGACTCATACCAGATCTCCTGCTCAAAATCTTTCTGGCTTGCAGTATTTGTATCTTGGGATGTTGGTTAGTTTTCTTAATATGCAGTGGTCAGCAAGCTTACGTTCTTTTTGTTGTCCTCTCTGATCTTTGCCTTTGAAAATTGTACTATGTCATCTTCACTGATTTAGAACAGCATTGTATATATGAGCAGACAGCAGATGTTTTACATTTCCTGCATCTAAACTTTTCTAAGCACACTTCAAGACGAGCCGTTCATACATCCATTACAATCACACCCTTGCATTCCTCTTCTGCTTTCAGTATCTGGACCCATCATGACTCCCGAAGAGCGGGCACTTATCCAAAGAATGGGACAAGATATAATCAAAAACTGGATTATTTATCCAATAAATCCATTGATGTGCTATGGTTTTCCATTTCACTCAATGTCAATGCATTGTCCTGATGTGCTGAATGCTGCACAGGAGCGCGAATACCAATTGCTGTCACTGTTGCTTATTCTTCTACTGTGTAGGACCGATTTCTAAAACATGTGTACTAGGGCTCACTCTGATTCACATTGTCCCTAAGGTGCCAAGATCAAACTTGGCTTTCTAGATGGCAATTCACTGCAACTTACTTGGGTATTATATGTTTCACTGGATTTTTGGTTGTGCAAATTGGACAAGCAATGGTCGCATATCAGGAATTCTTTCAGCCCAGTCTTGTACCACTTTTGAAACGTCTGAGCAATGTCAATGATCAAGTTGGGAAATGGGACTGAGCCTACAACTGGTTTCAACTTCTTCCCGTAAGTCTTCCACACCAAATATAACAACCTTCAGCCAATAAGCATTGCTTAGCCAGTCATCAATGATATCTTCATCATATGGCGTGCATGGGTGATCTTTGAAAGAAGGCGCTGGGCACTGCATATTTCAATAGGACTTTGCCTCTCCACTCTTAATATGTAGCCTCCTTGGTCTAACAGTTTACAAGCTAAATTCCTTCCAGTTATGACACTTGTCTATCTGGGATTCTACTCAAACCCTGATGTTCTTATGCCAGGCCTATCATCTGGCAGTGTAGATATCTTTTACCTATTCATGGCCCCTTCAATTTGCTCGTTTTTAACGAACCTTGTGGCAACATCCTTCATTGGCTGGACATTATGGTATGCCCTTGCCCACTTTCAATTGGCTTACAGAACCTCTACAAAGTTTTGCAATAACAGGGCACACCTGAAATTCTTGAGAGCTAATATGAGCAATCAACAATATCAACCATTCAAATTGTGGCGCATTCTATACCTTCTGGCTTATATGCTCTTCTTCAGGTAAGATTTGCAAATCCTTATAACTATGCATGAATTCATTACCAAACCTGCAGCTACTTGGTATTTTGATGCTCTCACCCTTTACTGGGACTCAGTCTAGTCAGGTTGCTTCAATTATTGCTACTGATTTAGTTGAAGCAATGTACGTTTCCATCTCAGTACGTATCATCTTTCCCATGACTTTGCACATGTTCACTCCGCTGCAGTGTGTCTACCCTGCATTGACAATTGCCCTCATCCGCGGGCCATTTTCAATTGCAGGTGTCCATGGAGACTGAACTCCATGCCTGTGCAAATATCTTCTTCTGGTGTCTGAATGGATACTGATTCCATGTAAACACTCGAGTCCCAGAAATCTTTCACATTTCTTCTCCTTCCTCTGGAAGGCGCCGACTTTTCGTAGTAAAAATCAATTTCCTAGACGTTATCGATAATCCCCCCATATACCTATGTATCCTTCATGTCAATTGTCCTCCAACTATTTCATTTCTGCATTCAACCGGTGACTCACCTCGAGTTCATCAAATGACCCGGCGGATGCAGCAAAACAGCTCCCATGCCTGACGGTCTTCTGAATCTTCCACGTACGAGTTCCTCTATTACGCTGCAGTTGTTGCTTGTGGTGCAGACATCACATAACTTCCCCATTTACACAATCCTCAACACCATCCTCCAACCCCTCTCTCGGCCCTCGTAGTCTGATACGAAGCCCGTCAATTCACTCGCTGTTGAAGTCCACGCTCGAGTTCTTTTCCCTCGTCGTGTTAGTGAGAGGGACGGTGCATGGGAGGAGTTTGAATTTATGCTCAGACCTTGATAGACTCAGCTCAGATGCATCAATCCGACTTTCATTTCAAAGCCCTACCGATCCAGCAGTTTCTCAGGCATCTTGATATACGCCGAAGTTGATAATAAGAGACAAGTGTGGGGTTTCTGATGATTGAACCCACAAAAGCTGGCGCTTCAAGGGTGACTCGTGACAAGTTTTGTGTAAAAAAATGCGACCCTATCGCTAGAATTGATCCCAAAATGTATAGAAAGAGATCGACACCACTAAGAAATCACCACGGCAATTCCAGCGGCGTGGGCAAATTTTTCCCGAGAACACGTTCAGCCTCCCCGATGTCCCTTGTAAAAATTGTTGAGGAGCGCAGACAATGATCACGGAAATGAGCTGTGACATACCTTGGACCACGTGGTGCCCAGAAAGTTCCCGTCTGCTCATGGGTAAGAGTAGAAATGAAATCGATCGCTGACCGCGCGGCCACGGCGGGCTCGACAGCTAAACGATAGAATTAATGACATGAAGAATTTCTGCTCTGGAGAGAGACAGTTTACCTCCGCCTGAATCCCAGTATTTGTCGTAGCCAACACCTCTCGTCATTTCTGTTCTCATAAATCCGGGCTAATGAAGTACGACGTTCAAAATCGTTAGCATTGTGGGGCATTAAATTCTTACATGTATCATAGTCACGGTAATCCCCTTGTCGTAGAAATCATTTGCAAGGAGCTTCCCGACCATGTTTGCCGCCGCTTTACTTCCGTGGTGGCCATAGTTGCCACCACCTTCTTCCTTGGTGCGTAGCTTGATTGAGCCACCCTCACTTGTAATAAGGATGAATTTTGACGGAGATGCTAAAAGGTCGGTGTGATACCTGAGAGTAAACAAACACGTCATGGTCTAAGAAATCATCTCAGAACTGTGACACCTACAACTCGTGGGCCAGAAAGACTGGCGCAATAGCAACAGCCTTGTACATTTCAACCTCATCTTCGAAGTTCGGTTCAGCGAAGGACTAATGAAACATCAGGAAGGCCTCAACTTTTACCGTATTCAAAGACACACCTCTTTCTTGAATATCCCGGCATTTACGATGACCAAGTCAAGCTTCGTCTCTCCCAGCGCCACAGCAATCTTCGCTCCTGCTTCCTCCTGAGAGATGTCAATCGGGCTGATGCGTTCTACACCAGGTGGAAGCTGGTTGTCGCTCGAACGGGTAGTCCCAAAGATCCGATAGCCATCAGCATGGAGGACCTTTGTGAGCTCATATCCGAAACCACGAGATGCACCAATGACAAGGGCCGTAGGCATATTCCACAGTTTCTGATGTCGATGCCGTCGTATAACACTCAGCGCTCGCTAGTACGCCGAAGCAATTCACAAGTGATCGTGATCGATAACCAACGTCATCTTACGAAATATGCGCTCACATAGTGAGGATCATCGAACGCTTACTTCCATCAACCGAGCGCCTCTGACTAGCCAGACTTGGATTGTCTTAACGTAGAGATGAAACATGGGTACAGGTCCCTAAGGGGGTCGCTGAACAATGTCACAGAGGAATTTTCTCGTAAAAAGATAAGATCCAAAAATGCATATTTGCGCACGTTGTTTAGGCGGGCAGGAAGTAACCAGTCACAAGTTGATTACCAAACGCGTCGCGTTCAGACGCGCTCCTCGGTGCTTGGGGGTTTTGCTATTGCAGCTCGAGATTTGCAGTAGCCAAACAAATTAGGCTCGAAGGATGGAGTCAGTACTTGGGAACTCTCAGTAAGAAATTTTGCATGCAGGGAAGGCTGGTATCTATCCAGACTCCATGGTTGACTGCAGGTCGGTGGTATACGAAACGAACCTGCAGATACATAATGTACTTGCATCAGTATTTCATATTCTTTGCTAGTATATCGGTTAGTACACGCGCCTGTCACGTGAATCTTCGTGCGCGCGAAAGCTGGGTTCGACTCCCAGGCAAAGAGTAGGAGAAACCCATGCTGAAAACCTCAATTTTCTTTTCCCTTTTGAAAAGAAAAGAAAAGCCTTTCACTATTCCTCTTTACTTTCATGACTTCCGCAGAAATACTTGGAATCTGGTTTCCTCACGACACAGCTCGCAACTTATTCAAAATAGACAAATGATTGAGGAACCATGATACAAACTTGAAAACATTATACACGCGGCTCCTCCCCTCGAATGCCGACCCCATTACTCCCAACCCCATGCGCATCCTCAAGCCTTCGCACCTCCTCCACCTCAATCGGTTTCTCAATCTCTTCGCCACCTTCCTCGTCTCCCTCATCTTCATCCACAGCCTCATCTCCCTCATCCTGATCCTCCTCCTGGTCCTGGTCATACAGACCCTCCTCTCCCTCTCCCTCGCCCTCCTCACCCATCTCCTCGCCCTCTTGATCATGAGCAGCATACTCCCCGGCTCTAGATAGAGAAGCTTCCGCAGCTTCACCAAGCTCCTCCTCCCAGTCCACTTCCATCTGGTTCGGCTGTGCCTGCAGTGCGTGGTGTATGAGCGGGGCAGAAGTGAACGGCGCACCGAGGTCTTTTGGTTTGGCTTTGCCTTTACCTGCGGGGGGACGTGGTGGAGCAGAGGCGGAGGCGGAGGCGGAGGCGGAGGCGGCTATGGATGCAGAGGCAGAAGCAGAAGCGGAGACAGAGGATGGGGGAGGAATTTTCTTTTTGTCGGTTTTAGCATTGGCGCGATAGACTAATTTTGCGTTTCGAAGGATGAGATGAAATTTAATACAGTAGGGAAACGAATACGCACCGACGAGTTCGGTTTGGAGCCTTTCGACGAGGTCACCGAATTCAATCATTTCGAGCGCTTTGAGGACGTCCGAGGCAGATATGGATTTATGTTGCTTTGAGACGGCTACATCATGTGCTCTATATCAGCATACGTGTCAGAAGAAGCTCTGCACAACATTCGCAAACTCAGAGACGCACGTCGCAGCTGGAGAAGGTCACGAAATTGTTGTAAACACATGAATGAAACATAGTCTATGACAGGCATACCAAGGTAATTGATAAACACCGTAGAACCCTTCACGAGTGACAACACCGTTTCCTTCTGTAGTTTTGCATTGTCTGGAAGCTATGTACGATCCTGTGATCAGCATCCATGTTCAAAAATTCAAGAGCGAATCGAACATACAGCAGATTTAGCGATCTTGGTGACGAGACTCTTAGGGAGCTCGAAGTTCTCAATTCCGTCCGAAACGAGGTCTTGCTGGGCCTGGGCGGAAATGGGGCCAGATGGAGCGTCTTTACGCGGCATGAGTGGTGTGTGATACGGCAGGTGGTGGTGGTCGAAATTCACGCGCCGTGTGGTCGTGTTTGGCGCTGGCGTCACAGGTCATTCGGGGGGAAAGTCAACGTCACCAGCTGCAGACTCATTGCTCAATGATGTAGCCACTTCCAAGCCAACATGGGTCCTATGTACATTACTAATTAATATCCTGCCAACGACTCGAACCAGAAGATGTTCGGCAGAGGTAAGAAACTATAATTTCTTGACACGGAGACGCTCAGCAACGCATGATAGTGACTCCAGGCAAGAACGGGCAGGGTCACGCATGGAATCGAAGGTGGATGTGTTGGAGAACTGGTCGGTTCTGTAGTGCACTGACCCGATTGAGTTGTCCATCCGGTTTTTAGAACTTAGTTTGCTGTACGTAGCTATGCCTCTGATAACGGATTTATGGAGGCTGGGAGCATTACTTCGAGGATCAAGATTGCTCTCTTTTTAATATAGATAGTTCCATTCACGTCTTGGTGCACTTTTACCTACCGTGACTCTCGCTACTCATTGCAAAAAACTAGTGGAGACTCGTGGCGCCCCAGAGTTACCGAATTCCGCATTGTGTTCAAGCCCTGGAAGTTCGATCTTCAATGGGCAAAGGGGAAAAGCTGTAGCTGCAGCCGTGCGGCCGTGCTTTTCCACTCACCAATACATCCGGAGCACCAGACTCAATCTTCCGATACAGCTCATAAAGGAGACTGATCATATGTAACACTTTTCTCAACATGGATTTGAACAGGCTGGAGCTGTATACCTGAATTCTTTGAGATTGATTGTGTTTGCATAAGCGCAGACGGAAGAGGGAACAAAAGTCCTTACCGTAAAGGGATCATGGAATTGAATTGTGCCCCTCCGTTGAGGACCCTCTAGATTCACAACAGGCACAGAGGTGTCGCGGGTCAACTGACGTCGTTGGCGGCGAAGCTCATATCGAGTGTTCAAACTTCAAGTGGTCAGCAAACACTTAGATCCTATATATACGCTGTAGTGACGTACGCAACAAGAAGAGAGTTAGCATATACTAGCGAGAACAGTCACCACGATGGAATAATTAGAATGCTAGGTAGAACATACGTTTGCCAATGATAAAATGAAGGCCCATGAAGATCAGGTTATTCATGGTGAGCCACTTGTTAGTAGTGCTGGACGTCAGCACCATCTCGGAAAACCAAATGATCATACATACACATATCATGGAAAGGATCGTCCCAGCACTAGACAGTTCTGTTGGAACACGGGACCTCTAAAATTTACACCAGAGATCGAGAAACGCACCAGGTCAAGGAACCGATCTCAAAGGTATATAGAATGAGAGTGTCAATGATGTGATCTAAACTTTAGAAACATTAAGCATCAAATTCTTGATATCATCACAAGTTCAATCACCTCAGGGAATTTGCGCGATTTTTTTGAAGAAGTGCGAAGAGGCATAGGGTGACAAGAACATCAACGGCTGAAGATATAGCGAGACCAAGAGAGAACAGCCACTTGCAGATAAATAGACGTCAATTTCGAAAATGCTGAAGTGGGGTGACATACACGGAAATCAGCTTTGAAAGTGGAAAACATATGAAGGCGCATCCTATGCCCAACTGTAAATTTATGAGGATGAAACCTATCGATCAACTCACATCTCAGCGCTAGCGGCTACATGAATCAATATAAATTAAATAAGCTTGGATAATGCAAGACAGTTCCTGAGAGATGCTTTACCCGATGCAGAGCCTAATAACAGACAAAATAAAGATTAGGACGGAATTGGTGAAAGAAGCCGTTATCCTCACAGAGCCGACAAGTTGCCAGGAAGAGCTAGCGGGATCAAACTCTTTGAGGTCAAAGTGCTTCTAGTTGCACAAGAGGCCACTCACAATTGGAACAGTCAAGGACCAACTTCTTTTGCTCACTGGTTGAGAAATTTAAGATCAGATCTCTGAGAGATGGATCTATCTAGTAGCTCACAGAGGAAGATCCGATAAGCAAAAAAGCTGAATTCATTAGATTGATGATTCCAGCATAAGATACAGTGAGCAGACAGAATCTCACCAGTGAGCAAGGAATGTAATGATCGCCTATAAAACTTTGAGATCGGGTGGCGATGTTCCAGTCAAATTTCTGACCGTGAAAATGATGGTAAGCTGTTGGAAGGAGACAATGAATCATAGTCAGCTTTGCAGGGAGATGGTACTAACTGGTAATGTCCTAGGAAATTATTTTGTGAGGGATTACATGGGATTATGTCACAAGGACTCTTACTCAGGTATGTTGTTAATATTTTCAACATCTCCGAAATGTTGGATAACATAGTTCCAGACCGATGCAGTCACGAGACCACTGTGAGTGAAATCTAGCACCCTACTGAGGCTTCAGTAGTGGGAACAGGCAAGAAGAGGTGTCTACTTGCCAAGTGATCGAAACCTGATAGAAAAAGCGGGTCAGTCCTGATAGAAAAAGCGGGTCAGTATCAAGAGCAGTCCAGCAGAGTCTAGAGATCATACAAATGCTTTTGTAATTGGAGGGTCCGAAGGATAGAATTTGAAATATATGAGTGTCTGTACCAACACGATACCGGAAAGTCTGCTCTTAGGTGAGTTTAAGAAACTTAGATGATTGGAATTTGAACTACCCAGCTGCGATGAATCCACTGAGTAAAAGCGCACCTTGATTTGTTGTAATGTGAATCATGGGTGAATGTCCGCTATGTCTGACAAGGAGTTTGCAGAAGATCTCTAATATATGTTCATAGTGCCGAAACTGAACCTCTATTCGCCGACATGGGTTTTCGATATCAGATGTCAAGCCAAATGTTGGTGAGAATATGAGTTCGCACCTCACAATACATGAGAAAAGTTAGCCATTGGGAGAATTGAATGAGACCATTGTTGGAAGAGAACTGATGAATCCTGGGTGATTTATTCCTTCCAGGGCGGTGGTTATTCAGCTGCCCCAGTATTGAGTCAATTTGATCACAATTTTAATGTTCAAGCTGAAGCAAGGAACAACTCCTACTTGCGGAGCAGGCATGCAAAAGTCCATGGTATGTGTTTAGGCCAAAGTCAGACCAGAACACGATGAATCATGATGGGAATATGACTCGGATATGCCGATGTGCCTGTGAGCTCTTGACAGGGAGTTGCATTACTATCAACTTTATGCATATATAACGGTGTTGAATCTCATCAATGGCTGAGGCTGATTGTGAGCTCTTCATCCCCTTACATAGCCATTCTGGTTCCTGAGCTGATATATTCTAATTCGGGTTGGGATTAATATGTCCTACTTGGAATAGAATCACCAATAGTTTGGTCTAGAGCCAATATGAACAATGTTTCAGGTTCATCTGTTTGATTCAGCATCCAACGATCATCTTCCAGTGATATCTGGTCTGTTGCAGAGGTGATGCCCTAGCTTGTCATCTCATCACCAAAAAGTTCGTGAAGTGACTTGGCCATCAACAATTAGCATATAAAAACATAACAAACAAACAGAAAATAGTACAACATGGAAACATGAAGAACAGTCAGCATATGAAAGCAGCCAGAAAGAAATTGAAGCAAAGTGAAGTCCATGAGCTTCAACTGTAAGTACAATTTCCAAAGCAAAGAAAACAAAGTTGCAGGTTGAAGAGTCCATGATACAAGCCAAACTGGGAGTCCATCCACTTTTGT